TGGTACGATTTTTCCATGGATAGCTTTAATGTCTGTGTTTCCATCAAACCTGATAAATGGTGAAATCATTTTTACGAACGCATCGTCCGCCTCTTTATCCAAATTTCGTTCAAAACTACCGATCAATGGAGAAAATTCCATTCTTTCGAGATTGTTGCATAAAGATGCGATATTGGACATTATCTTCGATAGAAAAGGCAAATGTGGCTATTGAAATTGAATTTCACAACAATGAAAACTTCTATGTTGAACGTCAAATGTCATTCTGATTGTCTTATGTCATGCTCATTAGCACTCACATTAAGAACTGGTTAAAACTATGAAACTGAAAATTATTATAATTTAGATTATTCTACTGCGATAATTTTCTGAAACGGATGATTTTGAACTGCCCAAAACCAAATTTAGAACTGCCCAAAATGAGCAGAAATACCGCTTATTTTACTCCCTGATTTCATATTGCGTCGCAAGTTTAAGAAATCAAAACCACACTTCTCTGAATGTTTCTGACTATTGAAAGGGTCTCTATAGTATAGAGTCCATACAACTTTGACAAGTATAAAAAGTCTTTCGTTTTTTTTCTGGTTGTTGTTGCACAAATTGACATGAACAAAATTGAAAGGAAAGTTAAATCAAATCAACCATTCGAATGAGAAACGTTTCTTCATGCCTGTACACAATCAAAAGAAATGGCGAGCTGATTAGAACCATACAGATTGGAAATGGCATTTCTTTGAAGTTACATGCTTCGTTAGAATCAAATAATCAATGGAATGTGGTAGTTATGCGCTGTTTGTTCGCTAGTCACATGCGAAATAATAATGATGAGAGAGCGAGAGAGAGAAAAGCACGACACGAAGAAATTTTTAACACAATAGAAATAGAAAACACTCACCGAGATTCTTCTTTTCAGTAGTGTACGTTTAAAATAACAGTGAAATCAAATAGAAAAACGATGTACCCGAAAATGCCAAAAGAATTAAATCGATTCTTTTTCGGGCTGTTTTCTCTTCCTTCTCTCTCTCTCTCTCTCTCTCTCTCTCTCTCTCTCTCTCTCTCTCTCTCTCTCTCTTTCTTTCTTTCTTTCTCTCTTTGAGAGGATTGTATCCATTAAATGGAGTTTAAAGAAAATTTCAAATTAAATTGTATAGAACAACGGGCACATGCAGTACACATACACATATACAAAATGCAGAGAAGAAACGCCAATCGACAAGTGGACAATATGAGAAAAAGGTGCGAAAGTACCGTAGCCAAATGCAAACAGTAGTTAGTATTGTTGTTATGGCGATCGCCATCGTCTCCATTGACACACACGGTAATACACCACTTCCAATTTAACATTCAATTGTTGCCATTTTAGCGATTGGCATATCTGCTTCACATTTCGCCACTGATTGAAAACGTCTCCGGTAAGCAAAGCAAACCAAATTTATTTCATTTTTCGTTGGGTTTTTGTTTATGCGAACATCCAACATGTTTGTTTCGAGTGGGCAACATTATTCAACCGTAGCAAAGATCAAAGAGAACGATGCAAACAACATTCGTATGTGCAATGCATTTCTAAAGCAATTTGATTCAATTCTTTAGATTATTTGAATTGATGCAAACGCCAATAAGTGTGTGTGTATTTGTGTGTGCGAGTGGTGAGCAAGCGACAAAGCAAAGAATCTATAGAAAATTGTATTGTAAGGGTTTACCCGAATGCGAATGGGAATGCGAAAGCAAACGTAAATTGAGATTATATCACAACGCATATCGAAAGAAATGCTTGCCGATTTACTGTTGATAGCTCATGCTGTACACTGCACGCCGCGACCACCCGCGCTGAACAAGCGCATCGCATTTTGGGACCAACATGAATGAAATCATCAATCTATATTGGCTTGCATAAAACACAATCTCAAACTGAAAATGCGGCACACGAATGAAATTATGAATGGAACTGCACCTATAGGCGATATATCGTCTAGACCTCGGCCACATCGAGCACTGTTGCCGCTGGGATATGGTATGCGATTGACGATTGATGCGCAATCTAAACAAAATCTGATGTTGATTTGCACATCTTTTATCTGTTTTTTTTTTCTGCATGCTCAATACATTGTACATTATAGGCCGCACATTCTGTTCAGTTCAGTTCAATCCATTCAATGTAGGGTGATTTAAAGCAAGAAGAAGAAGAAAAAAACCACGTGCAATGCAATCAAATTATATAATTCCTGAAATGTTCTGTGCATCGGCGAAGCTCCGCTTTTTGGTGCTCTCTGATTTGAATGCTTGATAGCGATTGAGTGCACTTTTTTGGCGTTACATTTCAATGTGATTGGAATAGGTGAGAAAAGACTTACATATTCAATTTCGTTATTATAGCGATGCGGTGCATATTTCGGTCATCGTTTGATCGCAACACTCAGATAACCGAAATCTATGGTCTGTTTTCTCTCTCTCTCTCACACACACACACACACACACACACCCATCTCTTCTCTTTATTATTCCATACCCGATGATACTGATTGATATGTAGCTGCATGGATTTTGAAATCACCTTTTGACCATTCCTTACACGTGTGGATGGATTCGACTTATTGAAATCTCGCGATTTCAATACAAGTTTTTCGGTGTTTTTTTCATGTGATGTGCTTCAAATGACACAATTTAATTTATTCGAAAAATGATGATGGAAGTTATGTAATGCAGAAATAGACTGACAGGCGAAAACGAGCATAGTCTCCACTTCGTGCTAAGCTACCATTTTACCGTTAATGAATACAAAATTGGCCTGGGCTTCTCAAATAAAATGAGAGCATGTCATCTTCAATGAATCGGATATTTTTTTTATCATAATTTAGTGCGCAAAATCAAAGCAAGAAGATTTCGTTTTTCAGCCACTCGTCTTAATACCACTCGAAGCCTATCATATCGTGTTTCTATCTCTCTCTCTCTCTCTTCTGTTCACCTGGGCTGACGGCCCGTGCAGTTGTCCATTCATAAAATCATACAAACACACACACACACATACCAATTTTCACGTTCCGATTTCCGAAGCGGCTTTTATTTAAGAAAACTAAAATTGCACGAAATTAGATTTTCTCCTTTCCGCTGAATAAATCACACCATGTTGAATGCGAATGGATAGCATGAGACGGTGTTCATTGAAAACAGCGAATCGCAACACTCTCGTTCTTCTTGCCATTGTGTGTGTTTGCCTAGCGCATATTCACAATTCCACTTCGTCATAAATGAAAATATGCTGAATAATTTCGGTTGGCTACATTACATAAACACATAAATATGGCGGAATTATATGGTCAATCGATTAATTTGACGATGCTCCAATTCTGGTCTGAAGTGGAAATGATGATTTTAAAGCGTGGCCGACAAGAAGATGTGCGGTTCGGTGTGGTTTCATCGCACTCGTACACAAATGACACCAACAGATCCGAACTAATATGAGGCTCTGCAACACGAACAGTTGAGCATGACCAGAATCTGTTTTTTTTTCTTTCTCTCTTCTTTGGTGTGGCCCCGTAGTTTACGTGACAAATTCGAGATGAACGGTTCCAATTCACAAAAACTCTTCAGACCCTTTAGGATATAAACAAGTGCGATCATACCTGTGAACAGTTTTTATTAATTGTGCGAATGTGTGCGCGCATCTAACGCTTTGAAGAAAGAGGCAGAACAGAACTTTTTTCTTCTCTGTGCCATTTGGGTTGTGTTCGCGTATCACTCTCTTCTTACTGCATCAAATTTTGTGAATTTTTGATCTCTCTCTCGGTGTGTCGTTGGTTATAGATCGGGTAGGCTTGCTTAGTTTTTTCTTTCTTTCTTTCTCTTTCCATTTTCTATCTTTTTCTCGTTAGCTGGGTGCAAACGCACGTTCTGCACGGTCAACACGAACAACAGTTTGTTGATGCTAATGAAATGAGATAGATACAATTCGTACGTCAAGAGATCAAGAAGTGAGGAGAAAAACCGTTAAGGCCCCGGAACTCTGTCGGTGCGCCAAATTATTTTCATATACCATTTGATATTGTCAGTGGATGTTTGATGACATTGCCATAATGTGCTCGTCAAGAATAAAACACGCAAAACCAAAAAGCGATCAACGACAAAACTTTTCTTCGCCAAAACTTAATTGAATTAGAACCACGTATGAAATGCAATCAGTTTTTATTTGGTGCTAGAAAATCCAAATAAAACTGCTAGTTTTTTTTTTCTTCTTTTCTTGTGGTTTGAGTTTTTTTTTCTACTTTGTTTTCGTTCATATTTATAAAAAAGTGTTAGCTAAATTGTGGATAATGTTCATTCGACTTTGCATAACGGACAACAGTGAAATCAAACTCTTCGATCTGGCGCACAAAATCAGTGAATAGAAAATTGAATGTGTGGCGAGTGAACCGACGAACTGCCACTCTACACTGTGTACTCTTTTTCTCTTGTTTTCATCCGTGTTATTTTTTTTAAACCATTGGTTCGCCAATGAGTGCCTAATTAATGACTTGCTCAGTGATTGACTAATTGTTCAATAGTGTTGCTGTTGTTTTTTTTGTCGGTTGTAAATATTCGAATGATGATCAACCTAAGCCGGTAAATTTGCAATTTTGACCAATTACCATTCAACAGATTTTCACCAACTTTTTGAGAGAAATCAAGTGCAGATTTTCCGTACAAACAATGTGAAACAAATGAAATTAATTCAATTGCAACATTTTTAAATCGAAAAAAAGAGACTCGTCTCAATTCGAATGTTAAATTTACTACTCGGTGCACCTTAGCACACACATACACACATCGGTAAAATTACATTTACGTAATTTGCTTCTGCAGACAAGTGCATGTAGGTTAATGTGTGTTTTGATTTGTGCTTACAGATATAAAAAAAAACCTATAGCAAAAATGACCGAAAAAACATAGACACACTCAATTCAACTAATTTATTCAACTTTAAGTTAATCTCCATTCAAATATTGTATTTTGTTTTTGTTTGGCAGGATATCGTGGAGTAACATGATGGCCACTGGAGTTTTGTTAAATCTCTTCATTTTATCGCTGGTAAGTAAAATCGGTGATTTATACTGTTAGTGTTTATTGAAGGGAGTGTTTTTTTCGGTGTGCATTTGAGCTTACTGCTGTTAGAATATCAGTGCTAATGACTATCGCTTCATTTCCTTTTGCAACTAACTGACTTTAAAATCCATTTTAATTGGCAATGTGTTTTGATTCACACCGAAGCAAATCAAAAAAAACTACAACGAACTTTGTGTTTTTCTGCAGATATCATCATCGAATCTATTGGCTCATGCACAGGAAGAAGATTTATTAGTGACAGAATTCAGTATAATTGGTCATACGGGCAGTAGCAGTGATTCAACGCCTGGTGGCATTTCGACGAGTGCGAGTGGTTTCGAAAGTAGAGCCAGCACAGGCAGTGGAAGCACCGAAGCTGGTATGTTCAATGATTGGGCATTTTTTTATTATTCTAGTGGAGATTTATAATGTTTGGCCATAAGGTTCATCCATAGAGTAAATGTTGATCAGAGCAAGGATGAATCCATTCCAAATTCTAAATATTATTCAACTGATTTCATTTCTGACACTTCATGTCGTTTCATTGTTCAATGATTCAATCCTTAATTTTGAAATCAATTACAATCTTAGGCAATGACGGTGACAACAGCAGCAATGTAAGTTTGAATGACAGCAATACCGGCAATGGCATCACCAGCGATGGATTGCCCAGTTTAGAAACATCGCCATCAACTCGCCAATATATCGCTGTTACGCAATCGTCAATCATTAAACGCAAGGGACCATTGAAACCGGAATCAGCCGACGTTGAGGTAGGTCCCCCTGAAAATACATCAACAAACACTTTTCACATTTTTCTAACTTTTTCTTCTGCAATTAAAACATATTTACCGAAAAATGGTCTAATTTTTCAACATTTTTACTCTTTTGTTATTATTGCCATAGAAAACAATTACAATCGCCGATAGCAATCAAAATCATTCAACGGAAGCGCTCACTCAAGATGGAAGTCAAAAAGATCCGGTATGTATATATTTGAGTTGTGGTTTATTTTGTCCGAAAATACGGTTTGGATGCGGGTCATATGTAATTGTTTGTATACACGTATCCAAGTCAAGTCAAAGACTCTCATCTCGCAATCATATCGCCCGCGTTAGATGTGTGCGTTCAAACTAGACGCTTGACACGATGAAATGGTAACCTGATTGCTCTCTTATTCTTCGTAAGTAATATTTGTTAGTTCTGCCAGCGGAACATCCATTTCATTTTGAGTAATTTTCAGGCGATTGAATGAGAGAAAAAAACAAATATGATGGATATGAATAATACATATATCGAAAAATCCACACAAACATTGTAAACAATTTGTTGGCAATTTGTGAGCTCTTTTACGGCGAATTCACATTCCAATTGAAGTGATTCAGTTGAATGCGCGATCAAGACGCGTACATCGAAAATAGCACGTCTTTCGGCTCGGCAGCCTAGACACACAAGGCAGCATGGTCTAAATTATGACCCGGCGCAGTCAACTCATTTGAAAGAATTTCATCTTCAAAAGCATACGATGCGCGTGCGCGCGAACATCATCAACACATGATTTACATCTCATATATGTATACCAACATCATCACATCATAATAATTGAAACGGTTTTGTAAACAACGGAATTGGGCAAAGAGAGAAGAACAAACGGATTGGATTTAATGATGAACATCGATTGGAGCGGATCAAATGAACAGCATCCAAAAAGCGTCATCAAACATAAAAGAGACAAATCATCGTAGCTGTCGATCCGAAACGCATAAAGTAGACGCGCTCACGAGACAGGCGAATCGCAAAACAAATCCACATAAGCATACAATGCTTACGTCGATATTTTTCGAGACAGAACTGATGATCATGATGCGTGTCTGTTGTGTGCCTGTGCATAAGCAAAACAAAGCAAAGCAAAGCAAAGCCAAGCCAAGCCAAGCCAAGGCACTCCATTTTCCGAACATACAAAAACAAAGCGCCGGCAATTTTTCAGCATGTTTGATAAATTGACACACATAGATAGACACAAAGAACCATTGAGACTCTGCTTGTTCAAAGTGATGAAAGGTGAAGAGCAACTAGACAAACATTGATCACAAGTGAGACAAAGGAGGAAAAAAGAATCTATTAATTTTCGACGCATTGATTCTCCAACCGTTGAACACTTTTATTCCATTTAAATGATTTCGCTCATTTTCAATGCGCACCGCATGAATTTGTATGCCATCGTTTATGACATCAATCGATGCTTTGGATGAGGTTGTTTGTGCTCGTCAAATATTTGTAAACCATTTTTGATAGAGAAAAAAATCATTACTGTTATTGTTTGCATTGAGCAGCCGCCGCCAGCGAAACACATGAACGATCATTAAAAAATTGCTCAAATTAGAATAAAGAAGAAGAAGCAGAAGAAGCAGATGGAACGAAAAAATCGCACAGACAGTGTTCCAAAAGAAGTACAAAGCTTAGCATTTAAAATTCTTTATTTTTAACCTGCATGCCCAAATTATGCGAATTGCTCATGAAAAGTAGCAAAATGTGCTCGATGATGGCGCGAACCGTTTATTTCTTTTCCCTCTTTCTCTCTCAGACAATGAAGTGACTGGCAAAAAGAAGCGCTTATGAATGAGATTTGTTTATGTTGTTGCTGATGCCATCAATTAAATAAGTCTAAATACGAGCTTCTTCATTTGCTACCTCATTTTTGTTTTGGTTTTGACATGACTGGCCAACATACTTTTGTATGCAAATTCACAACCTAATGCTGATTTTTAATACTTTCAACACTTCCTGAATGAGAAAATCGAGGCGGCCTTTTGAAGGATTTCATGCTCTTTGCAATTTCCTTCATAATTCATATGTCAACCATTGAAATTTGCATTTGTATTGAACAAACTGCAAAACGAAAAATTCTTTGAATGTGTCGTCAAAGCGAAAAAAGAGGTAACAATCAAAAGAGAATTGCTTGAATCGTGAAAATTCACTTTAATGAAATGGATGTTGGACGTCGGGAGTCACAATGACGATCCCGATGGTTCGAAAGTGATTTCGCTGAGACGAAACGAAAAGAAAGAGAAGAAACCTGTGTTGTCATCATATATTTGCAGTGTTTGCCGCCAACGCGGTCGCACACTTGTAATTGCACATACATGGATGTAAGATACATGTGAATACCACGAATCAAAGCAACGGGCGTCCGTATTAAATGTGCAGAGAATACGTCAAGTCACTAGGGCATGACTAAAATAAAACCACTTTTTTCCCATGTAATGCTGTTTCTATACTTTGTCCGATGTGCTGAATGCGACGGCGGCGGCGGTGGCGTCGGGCATTTTCTTCATAATTTTTCTCCGGTGTTTTGCGTTTTCGTACGATTATGAAATCGCTTTTCAGTTCAGTTCGGTTGTGGTTTATCGGCTTGAATATATTCCATTTCGATCGACATTCCGTCCGCTCATATTTCTTTTTCCACATAAATGCTGTACGATCAGCAGGCGAAAATAACAACTGAAAAATAAACACCATACACACAAACACACACACATCAAATCGAATATTTGCTTTGGAATTGTTTATGGTTTTGGCCTGATGTCAGTCGGCATATTGCTTCGTACACAATATTCCATCGTCGACAACCAGCACTCGGGAGACTCGAAACATCAATCGTAATTGATGTGTGTCTGGCACACAAGTGAGCCATGCGCTTGTGTTCCGATTGGCGATGACGACATCGCCTAAGGTTGAATCTTGGATGGCCTTACATTATTCTGCCGATGGGCCATGTGCCAGCCGTCATCATAAATGCTTGACGCCACCGCTGTCACTGCTATTGCTGCTACTGCTGCTGCTACTCGTTGTAAACAACAGCAACCAATTCTGAAGAAGAAATAAATACGGTACGAAGATCATGAAATTTCGCACGGGTCGTTTGGTTTGCACTCGTTGTTGTTATGGTTATGCAATGCATAATGTTTTAATAATAGGGCGAAAATTATGCGCGAACACCATACGATGGCATACCATGAGAGTGCCGGCGAACATACAATATGTATATACTGACTGTTAATAGACAATTTTCCTTCTTTTGTCCCATTAGGTATACATACCTATATACACATGTGTATGTATGTATTTACAACAAGTTATAGTGCATCATCAGTTTAATGTGCGTATGCATACCATTGCCATTTTCGAATGACTTGCTCAAATGTGAATGGTCAATTCGGTGTCGATTTTATTTGACCATTGGAACATTCAGTGGTCTTTTGACTCGTTGCTGACGACACTCACACGTCTCAAGAATGACATTCAAAATCAAAATTTATTTTCCGGAAATGAGTTCATTAGTGTTGGCGCATTGTGTTCAACTTGAAATAGTAGGCATAAAATTATTATGTAACTGACCGAACCACTTTGAATGAGGAATGGTCGAATGTGTGGAATGAACTTAAAGATGAGGCCGCTTGACTGTAATTTATAACAAATGTTCATTCTTTTTTCTTAAAGTAAATACGAGTAATACAAAATGATCAAAATGAAAATGGGTTTTGTGTGGTTTCCACGACGTACGGCCCACAGGAGATGGATAAAAACTCCAAATTGATTGGCTATAGCCATCTTTATGAAGAATTCGCATTGAATGTGAGTTTAAGCAAAAAAATAAAAGCCATTTATCGGATTAACATTGCAACGGACATACATTGTCTCTGTTTTCATTTGAAACAGAACGCATGATAAACTATGCAAGTTTTATGTGGCAAATGTAAACAGAAACAAAAGTATCTTTGGTCAAATCAGAATGGCACATTTGAGTAAGGTGGTGCGTATGCGATGCGCATTGCGCACGGTTTAAGACATTTTGTATATGAATTGGCAAACATTGAAATCGGTTAACGGTTCTTTATGGAATATGTCAGAAAACCGAACGAAAACATAGAAGAAACCAAGAAAAAAACAACGACTAAGTAATAAAAATAAAGCAGCAACAACAACAACGTCTTATCTTTCCAATCAGTCGAACACTTCGACCTCACTGTACGTCTAAATTTTTGCTTTGGATTATAGAAAATTGTTCACGCAAATTCATTCATTGTGGTTCACGCTCGGTGTGTATCAGGGTTGACTTGGTAAAATTGAAAATACACATGAAGCCACAGCCACAGTAGCAGTAGCAGTAGCAGTAGCAGTAGCAGTAGCAGTAGCAGCAGAAGTAGACGAGTGAATGAGTGTGATACGAACGAGTGCACGTCATGTTAATCGTGAATGAAAACTTGCGTCTATTTTTTGGTTTCAATACACAAATTGTTCGAAATAAAAGTGAAGAGGAGTAAAGCATGTGCGCGCGCTTCCGCACAACCTAATCCAACTGTTCATCATTCAGAAAAATTCATCGTGTGCGGCGAATGGGCATAATAAAACAACGATATGTGCCATCAATCGTACCAATCGCATCAAATGATCAGATCTATTTAGACACAAAATGCACAACATGACCTTCAGCATTGTAAGGCCAAGCAAAACCTGACAAATTACACACATAACTGAATGTTGTGTGAGCCGCACGAAACTTTGCACTCTTTTTTAAAACCAACAACGAAAACAACAACAATAACAAAAAACAATTAGAAAATTTGTGCGGATTATTCTTGTCAATTTGTTCCACACCTGTCCAGTATTTTTGTACTTTTTTGTAGCTGCTTAACGTGTTCGGTGAAGTTATTGGTTTTGAGCGTGTTTTGTTGCGTGAATGTGTAGCGGACAGTAAGTGGTAGAATCCAAAGAATTAAACCAAACTAAAGAATACAAAACGCCTACAACCGCTGGAATTCGATCAAACAATTCATTATTGTTCACGCAACGTACACATATTGTACGCGCGCACCATATTTATTTACCGTCATCCTCAATTCGTTTTTTCTTAAGAACTTCAAATTCGAATAACGACAAAAGACAATTAAACGCGAGTGCGAGACAACGAAAAAGAAAAAGAAGAAAACAAAAGCCACAGCTACAGCTACGACCACAGCACCATCGAAATGAATCAGTGTCATCCGTGGATTTCACAACGTTTGGTTTTACTTTTGATGGTCAATTAATATGACGCTTTGCATATTTTTCACTCTTACTTTTGTTTTGTTTGTTTTGTTTTGTTTCTTTCTTCATTTGCATTTTCACCATATGCTCTCGCTCTATTGAATTTTATTAGATTTGCTAATTGAGCCAAAAGATTAAATGTGTGTGTTTGCGTTTTAGTGCTTGTGTTTTGTGAAGCGTTTGTTTTCAAATTTTGTGAAGAGAAAAAAATACAAATATCATATGGCACAACTGTTTTGACGGTCGATTGTGATAATATAAAACTTATGAGATAATTATTCATTTTGCAGGTGGTTTATCTATCCGAAACGGCTGGCTATATTCCAGTTACATCGTTGCGTAATCGGCCTACTGGAATCAATGCGGGCTATCATATCGATGGCGATATCGATGGATGGCGTCATGAATCATGGGACCGAGACTATAACCATCGAAATCGATTCAACAATACTCGAGTACAACGTAAGTGCATTCCTTTGAAGAAAACAAATCCAGCATTTCGTCTCCAATTCACGCCATTCCTTATCTAGATTTGCCATAAATAGCATGTTGCAAAAGTGCCTCACTGTCATTTTGTATGAAAATTCTACAAAACGATTTGAGCGCTGTTCGCATGATTACATGACGGCTTTCATTTGAACTAATGTGAGGTACATTTCAAAAGTAAATTGCAACATGCTATTTTGTTCACTCAATTTCATATCGATAGAGAAAAAGTGATGATTTTTCCCAATTTATTTTGTTAATGCAGATATTGAAGCCGAGTGTCAAGATGATTACATGAAGATTCGTATTGGATTTAATGGATCATTTACCGGTCTCTTATACTCAGCTGGTATGTAGAAAATATATCAAATACGCTCCACTTAACACAACTATCGTTCCCCGCTCAAATGCATTCAAATGTTGGCCAATTGATCCAAAACGAGCTAATGTTTACGTTTTTTCATTGTAATCATAATTTGTTTTTCTTTCTCTCTCTCTCTCTCTCTCTCTCTCTCTCTCTCTCTCTCTCTCTCTCTCTCTCTCTCTCTCTCTCTCTCTCTCACTTACTCTCTTGTGAAAAAGGTTATGCGTATGATCCAGACTGTATGTACATCAATGGTTCAGGTCGAGATTACTACGAATTTTACATTCAATTAAATCGTTGCGGAACATTGGGAAAAAATGCAATTAGTGAAAAATCACGCGAAAATCCAACGGTATGCATTTTATTTGACTCCGATTAGAATAACAAATGCGCCGAATGCCGCATTTCTCAACATTTAATTTTCACTATAACTCAAACCAATTGCTTAATTAATTTCTTCCTGTTTATTTTTTTGTGATGAAACAAACACATGGCAGAATTTCATGTGGAACACAATCACCGTACAGTATAATCCATTGATTGAAGAGGAGTTTGATGAACATTTCAAAGTGACTTGTGAATATGGCTATGATTTCTGGAAAACCGTCACATTTCCATTCTTGGATGTTGAGTAAGTGATTCCGTTCGATATTCAAATTTCAGTGCCCTTTTTTCTGAAGGCAAAGAGAAAACGAAAACCTTCACCTCGATCGATAGCTTAAATTCGATTGCATAATCGGCCTTTTCTTCCCAAAATTTGCGTAGAGTGGCAACGGGAAATCCTGTTGTTTTCACATTGAGCCCCCCGGAATGCTATATGGAAATTCGTAACGGTTATGGCATTGGTGGTACGCGTGTAACTGGACCCGTTCGTGTTGGCGATCCGCTAACTTTGATGATTTACATGCGCAGCAAATACGACGGTTTCGATATTGTTGTAAACGATTGTTATGCACATAATGGAGCCAATAAACGTATCCAATTAATCGACGAATTGGGGTGGGTACACTTTGAAAATCAAGGATTATGTAATTCGCGAAATCTCTAATTAAAACAACAAAATCTGATTGCTCTTCTTTATTTCATTTGTTTTTTCTCGTGTGTTATTATTTTCATTTCCGTGGCTGATGGCAAACAATTGTAGTTGTCCCGTTGACGATAAATTGATTTCACGCTTCCGCGGCTCATGGTCCGATACTGGTGTTTACGAAACTCAGGTGTACGCATACATGAAAACATTCCGATTTACTGGCTCGCCCGCGCTATACATTGAATGTGATGTTCGGATGTGCCATGGCAGATGCCCGGTAAGTAAAAACTCAACAGTCATCACCTGTGAGCGCGTGCGCGCGCATCTCAGCTCCTTCACAGATCGTTCGCATTGTGTGACAATTCATGTGTGGATTCCATATGGACGCACTGGTCAACCATTGTGGTTTGCCGAGAGAGGGAGAGAGAGAGAGAACACAACCATTGGAATCAAATATTACCATTTGCAAGATACGGATTCAAAAACAAACAATCACAACAATAAGCGAAAAAAAACAATGTGATTTTTCTTTCTGCTACAGTGGTCAAACAATGCGATCGACCTAAGACACGATGTTTATTATTTTAATCCATCGATATACTAAATACTTTTTTATTTTGTTCATTCGTTGTTGTCTCTTTTTGTTTTACTTGTGATCTGCTTCGGCTACAGAGTCAACAGTGTCATTGGCGGAACATTAAATCGGTGACCAAGCGTGATGTATCCAACGTAAATAAAACAATTGCAAATGAAGTAGCCGAGAATAGTAAAAAGGAAAAAAGCGTTTCCGACAATATTAGCTTGTTCCAATCGCTTCGAGTGCTGCAAGAAGGCGAAGGTGATGAATTCAGTTCGGCCGTTCAAAGTAAGTATTACCAAATTTTTTACTTAATGCTCTATCTACCGTTTGAACTTTTTTCTCTGAAGATTCTCCATTTATTTGTCGCCGTTGTGTGTTTTTCCTTCTATTTTTTTGTCGATTTGGATGTGCAAATTTTGATTTGTGTGTCACTGCCATTCGAACGGCCTAGTTGACGAAATGGAATCGAATTGCGCATAAAATCTCAAGAGGAAAAACATGACTATGTCGAAATTAGTGCATGAATTGATTGGAACATTCCTTTTTTTTATATTTCGATTTCAATTTATGAAAAGGTGTTAAGGAGCCAAACGAAACCTGCTTAAAAACGACCGTGCTTTCGTCATTTATGTTCGCCACATTCATTCTATTCGCCATTTTAACTGTATCACTGTGGATGACATGCACAAAATTACGCTATCGAAACAAAGACTCCGGCCTTTATAACGCCTACATTAACCACAAAGGACAAATCGACTGAATCAATTCTGCTGGTGCTAATTTGGCTAGCGTTGCATGCGCAAACAAATCCTCCCCCCACGTAACATGACATTCAATAGAACCCCATTTTTATTTCTTAAAATTAGGTTAACTATTAAGCGTACAACCTTTTTTTTTAAAATAAATTAGTAGTAAAGCCAATCATACTTTTAGTAACATTAGTTTTACAATGATTTACCGCGAGAAAAAATAACACTTCATTTTCTGAAGGAATATTATGACAGCTAAACGAATTGTGTGCATTAAGTGTAGTTTAAAAATGTAAACTTACCAGAATCCAATTATAGCTACTATTTGTCATGAGAACATTTCTTTCTCTCAGAAGAATCATTTGCACAATTTGATTTATTTCTTTCTTTCAAGGTTTTATGCTTTCTTCTGGCTCAATAGAATAGATTTTATAAGTAATCGATAGCTGGAAATTTATCACCTAGAAAAGTCAATCGATCACACATTTTACAGCGAACTGCCAATGTTCAAGTATTTCTTTTCAAAAACAAAATCGTATCACCTTAATTTTTTTATTTTTAGTTGATATCAAGAAATTCTAATTTTTTTTATATGTGCAAAATGCCCCTCATCGATCGCACAGTTATTCTTTAAGTAGTTTAGCATTTAAACAATTTTAATTGGATCCATTTTTTATGTAGCAACAAACATACATTTCGACAACAAAGTATCGGAGCTGCCTAGTAGAAAAAAAATCGATCCTGAAAATTTGGTGGTGGCCATCAAAATTTTTTTTTTTAAATTAATTTTCCTTTGTAATCTTGGCATTTTAAATACAGCTCATCACAAAAAAAGCAACATATGATATTGGCATTGATTTTGAACGGTTCATGTTCGGAAAATTAATCGAAACAAATATATGCATGGTAGAGATATTCATTTTTATATCTATTGTTATTAATTAAATCAGCATTAATTGATCTGAAAGATGCTTGAAAAAGAAAAAAAAAACACTCCAACAAACGATCTACAACCCGGGTACAAATTTATTGAACAACATCTAACCGTTTCACACAAATTAAATTGAAGTTATGCATTATCGCTTGAACAGGAACATGGAATCAACAAATTTGATAACTGTGCTGCATGTACACAGTCGGCAGAAAAATATAACAATTAGTTCCATTTAGTTTTAAGTAAAAGAAGTAGGAAGAAAAAATGAACAAGAATTCAAGTAAGAAAGATGAAAAAAAAATCGAAAAACTTGAGAAAAAAATACGAAGAACATTGAAATGTAATTTACTAGTTTGATTATTAAGAGTAGAATGTACGTATGCAGCAGAAATGCAGAAAAACCAATGGGATTCATAAAATCCCATTGAAAATATGCTAGAGCGTAAGAGATAAAATGACATTTAGTTTTTATTGATTGTAGCATTTCTATGTGGAAATAAATGAATAGTGACGTGATTTTTTTTTAGTAACATCGAAATTGGCACTTTCTTCTATGACTGTCAACCATTGTTCAGAAGAAAAATGGTGAGAAAACTCAAACAGTTCAACTAGACAAACAGTAAATTCAAGTTTAGGAAATATCTCAATAAAGAGCATATTTCATATGTTCAAAGCAATCGCGTCGCTTATTCCGAAAACGGCAATGTATTTCAAATGATTTTAATAAAATAATGAATGAAAGCATGGTTTCATTTGAAATGTCTTTTGATTTCTTTCAAATTTTATACCATTTAATATTCCCGTTGAACAGTAGGTTGCACGAGGAACTGCCAAACTGTTGTTCGAGTGTAATTGCTAAAACATTTGAACGAAATGTATTTACAAATTACAATTTAAAAATTTATACGGTAATGCTTTTCGTCTCTTCGTTTTTTCCTTGACCTGTTATGCTAAAACTGTCTTTTTCATGTTGTAATGTCAAACGAATGGGTATTCGTAATATTTTATAAATGTTTCGTCTCTGATACACTAACTATCTATTCTGCTTTTTCTTCAATGTCCCAACCACCCTGGATGCCGACGATAGCTACTGTTTTATTTACCAGATTCGTTGAACCTGGAAATCTATTCAATATGATAAAATGTTAGATGATAAAAATCTAAAATGAAATGAAAAATGAAATAAAACCAAGTGTTGTTATGTTTCATTAAATATCCAGTAAACTGGTTTTATTCGCTTCATTCTTTCTTCTTCTCTTCATTCTCTTCCATTTTATTTATTTTCATTTTTTTTTTTTTTAATTTTTCATTACATCAGTCAGTCTTTTTAATATAAAACATACAACATTACATGTTCTAGCTTTTACATTTTCACCTTAAAATCATATGCTTCTAAAGTAAAGTAACAGATTTTCATTAAATTTTTTAGTGTGAGTAGTTTGTCCTTAGCTTGTTAATTTCAGTTGATTTTTCTTATCTGCTGTCGCATTTTTCAGACTGTCGACCATTTCGGTAGACAATCAAATTAATCAATAAATAAATTTTAATTGAGACGAGAATTATAGTGAAAAAATTCAATTTTTCCGTCAAATTAAATAGATTTAAAGTTTTTTTTAAGAGGTTCAAAACATGCACAAAAAATGAGCCAAATACAAAATTAAACGGTTTTTTTTTATCTCTTTTCGTTGAATTGATTTGGTTTAATATGTGGCTTCTAATTGATTCAAACTTAAAAAAAAAACAAAGTACATTTTATGATCAATACAATACATTCACCGAACTAACAAATAACAAATGCAATATTGGCGATAAATCTGTGAGTTAATGACCTTATCGGCGAAAGAAAAATCGCCGATTGTATGTGTTTGTGTGTTTTTTTTATGTTTTGTTGTAAAAAAAAGAGTTCTATGAATATTTTTTTCTGTTCTGCAATGGTGTTCTGGTTTTGATTTAATTTAATTCAATCACTTTTGGCTTTGGGATAGATTTCTTTGTGGTTTGTTCGTTTTATTATTATTTTTTTACAGCAGGGAAAACCATTGTCTTCTTTGTTATGCCATTTATTTTCTTTTTTTTCTTCAAAAAATCATACAAATTTGCATTGAATGCATATGTATGTCGTCAAGTGCAACGCACAACTGTTTCGTTTTATACAATTTTTTTTTGTCATGTTAAAATGTTCAACATCTTACCATTTCTTCCTTGTTTTTTCATGTTTTTTTTTGGTATTTTATACGATGAACACAATGCTAGGAATTTTAATACAACATCAATGTCACTTGAATCAAAACCGACAAATATTATAAACAATCAAACTGAGCATTTGGCTGTTGCCGCTCGAAATGTTCTGCTTTTTAAACAATAAAATCCTATTTCTGGAGATAAACAAAACAGAAGAATGAGTATGTCTACACTGTAACTTATCAATGAATTAACAAAAACACATAATAGTTAATAGTTGTAAGGTAAAAAATAGCTGAAATATAAACAATTTGTTTGTTGTAGTTGTATTAAGGTCTTAGTTCGTAAATCGATGAATTTTGTTCAAATGTTTTTTTTTTTCTTCTCTAATCACTCGAAGGTTGACGCGTCCAAATGTGTTCAAACAACTTTTTTTCTTTTCTTTTAAATAAAATATGTCACATGCATAAATAGTGCTTAGCAATTTTAACTTGAGAAGAACCAGTGGTTCTCCTTCTATGGATTAAGTGTTTGGTGAAATGATTCAAACGGTGCTCAGGTTGAATGCGCATTTTGAAAATCGTTATTGTTCTTCATTAACAGTTTGTTTTGTTTTTTTTTTTTTGGTTAAATTGTTCGCATGATGCATGTCTATATACAATTTCTAAGCATACGAAAGAATGTGATCATCTGGCTGATGTGTGATCCATTCGTGTATTCTTTGCGTATGCACAAAACATTCAACATTCTGTTTGCGATACGAAATCATTTAATTGAAAATTGAATCGAATTGAATTCTCTCGTTTTTCTATCCCCTTAACTAGAACGTAACAGTGGTGTGGCGGCAATTCAATTGATTGCTTGTTCGGTCATTTGCAAACTAAGAAATTCTAAATCTCTGTACGGACTAATATCACCGAGTAAATGTTTGCTAGCCGCTTGTTTCGGATAGCTACCGCCGCCAGTCGAACTTGACCGACCAATCGTACTCACCGGAGTCAATTCTGCGGAACATTGATGCGGACCTGTAAATGCCGAAAAAAAATCCAATATTAATGATTCATGGCGGTTGGCAAAGGAAAATGGCAGAAATATTGTTCGACATGGGATTATTCTTACAATAGTGCATTGTCGGTACAAGGGAAGATGACGTGATTGGTGTTGTAGTACTGTTGCTTGAGCTATTGCTCAGGCTGGAGTGCGGTGTAGATTGAGACGACAAATGTAAACCAATGCAACTGGATGTCTTTTGATGCTGAGTGATCGGAGCTGTTGGTGTTATCGTTACTGTTGTCTTGGCCGGTGTGATCGTTATCAAATTGCTCACCGAATGCCGATGGTACGAATGATGTAACTAGTTTTTCGGGGAATGAAACCAGAATTAATTAAAATTATCGGCGATATGGATCGTTAAAGCTTTGAAAACACACACAAAAATGGTAAATACATTGAAAAAGACACCTACCTGTGGCGTTGCGTTTTGATTGCCAACATTGGCATACTGCTGACCACCCCCATTGGAACTGGCTGCGCTGCTGCCATTGCTACCAAAGTTCGGATAAGACGACGATTTGCTATAACTGCTCGTAGGCGTCGGATGGTAATTGTTATTAAATTCGGATTGTCGAGACGATCGTTGCTGTGTTGGCTTCGACTTTGAACCAAGATGCTGTGCAGATTTCGGCTGCTTTTGCACCTATGGAAGTGACCAAACATATTTATTGTGAATCGATTTTGAACCAATCAAATTAGACAAAATTTATCTGAACAAGTTGGATGGAAAAATAAATTGCCTCATCTCCTTACCTGTTGCATGGAAACAAAGTTGAAATTCGACATTGGATTTGAATTTTTTCGATGTGGTTTGGTTTCGCTTCCATTTTTGTTATGCAATTTTGTAGCTGACGACCATCTAGAGTTCAACAATAGAGAGAGAAAATGTTGCTTGAATTATGAATTTGATTCAAAATTTTAGCTTTTTTCATTTAAGACTGGAACTAGATATTTCGAAAACAATAAAAACATCTCTTCGTCTTTGAACATGAACTGACCTTGGTTTGCTCAAACTTCCGTTGGCCGAACCGCTGCCACTTTTATGATATTGGCTCTTGGGTGGGAATTTCATTCTAATTACATCGATATCGTATCGAAGGTCCTTGAGTTGGTTAGCATGCTGTAGGAATGGTTCCACATTTTCCAACTGAGCAATATCGAAGATTTGAATCAATTGTTTAATCGATTCCTCGTCTTGTGGTCCGATTTGTTTGCTGACCATAATCTTGCACACTACGAACACAAAATAAACGGATCAATGAACGCAATGGAAATCGAACGCTAATTTCTTTCTCGAAATAAGATCAAGTTGTCCAAATATTTACTTACCAACAGTTAGCAGATTCAAAAACTGTACCGTCACGTCGGTTGTATCATAAATCTCAATGGGTTTCATGGGAGTTTCAACGATTTCGTGTAGCAATTTGATTGCTGTGTCCGGCGTAGTTTTGCCACTTTTCAATTCTTGTTCAGTTTGTGTCAATCGGGTGAAACGCTCTTTTAGTTTCTGAATGGAGTTGACGAGCTTGGTTCGTGCCCCTTGTGTTACACCCAATTGGTTCAAAAATTCATCGGTGACATCCATCATTTGTTCGTAGGTGAAATTTTCAAAATGTGTATAGTACTTGTGCAATCGTAACCGTTTCAACCATGGATAAACGTATTTCATGCCGATATTTTGTGTTTGGAACGCTTGATATGTAGGCTTTAAATCGTCCAGTCGAGTCTCTGAACCGCTGGCTGTCATCAGCAAACGTGGATTTTCGATGGACAACGAGCAACTGCGTGGTTTGTGTAAATGCAACAGATTTTCCGTTGACGATGTAAATCCAGATAGACCCAAGAATGCATCGTTGTGCTTCAGACCTCCGGTGGTTAGACTGTTTGAACGACGAGTTTTCAACATGCTGTCAATCAGTGGATTCAGCTTATGGGTCAAACTATGTTCAGGGAGAAAGAAGCAAGAACAAATATTTTCATTATAGCATAAGTTTAGCCTTAAAGTTTGTATTAAACCGAATGAAATAGTCTTACTTTGTGGCAAATTGGCAGGCATTTTGCACTTTTTGATGCATCGGCTGATCGGAATTGAATTCATGATATTCTGGATAGTCAGGGATTTCAGTACCATTTTTCGAGAAGGAATTGTTCTGATCGTCGGATGCATTAATTAAGAATATATCATCACTTGGATACGGTTTGTTTGAGAGATTAAGGTATGGAATGAAATCACTGCCGCCACCACTGCTACGGCCGGCACTGCCACTGTCTGTTTCGATGTAATCACTTTGAGTGTCATAAATGTTCTCGTTGTGAATTTGTGACGATCCGACTGACGACAATGATGAGAATATATTGTTGGCTGGGTTTTTATAATAGGATGAATACATTGGCCGAACGACAGCTTGCCAATCGGCGTTCTGAAGTTGACCATTTTGTTCCTGAATTATCTTTTTCAACCGCTCAATGTGCTCTTTTACCGTCCTGCAAATGGAGAAAACAAAGAAAAAAGGAAAAAAAATGAATCAATGACGAAATACCTCAATATTTCTTTTGGTGTGTGCAATTAACACCCTCCGACAATTGAATCGATTACATATTTGACCTAATTAATTTTCTAAACGAATCAAGGGCTAGTGTGTCAACTGGTTATGATTTAGGACATATTGGTTTGACGATTGCGGTCACTTAAATGTCTCATTCTCTCAATTTGAACATGTTTCATGTGTGTGGGTCACACATCAACATGCGATCCGCATTTCCTCGCAATTGTCCCATTCATATGCCATAATATTTTGTTATTTTTTTTTCTCTATATGAACTAAACGGAGGAAAATGCCCTAGCTCAATTATCCAGCTACAAACGACTATAGTAAATGTTAATTGAAAGGAATTGATTAAAAATGTAAGGTATAAGTATGCGAAAGAGAAACAATGATAGACGCGCGCGTGAGCGTTTGTGACGATGATGATGGTGGCATGCATTTTAAAAGCTGATAGGTGTCACTTTGAATTCCTTTCGTTTGAAATTTGAATGGAAGCCTTTCGCGTGATACAAATGGAATTGAAGACGAAAACATAAAACAGAAGAACGAAAACAACACCACACACACACACACACACACCATGTTCTTCATGTTCAAAAAAATTATTATCAAGATAGACAACCAAACCATGAACATGTTCAATCAAAAAGCCATATGTGGGTTAAGCGTGGAGACATTCAATGAAATTATCGTAATGATTGTGCAGGAGCTAAACATCTTCAGGGAACTCATGAATGGGTTCAGTATGTGTCTTGAATTCACGCCAACCAGTTGAATCTCCTTCAAAAACCACTGATATCGAAATTTGCTGAGGAAATAAAACGGTGTGTTCTTGCTCATTTTTGAACGGGTGAGTATATTGAATTAAATTGAATTATATTTCAATGAAAATCGATAATTATAACGTAATACAGTGTGAGATGTGTATTTGGTGCAGCCTAACTTGTTATGTGTATATTGTTAAGGTGTAAAACCTCAAATTATGTGCGAAGCAAAACCGCAAATTTCAAAGTAAACAATATTCGGTTCGTGGTATCGTTGTTGTTGTCGCCGCCGCTTTGGCTCTAATTGAGAACACGACCAATAAGCACTTTATGTTCAACCATACGTGTAGTCATTAAATCAATCTCGGCTTTATATTTATGTCCCGATGCGAGTTTAGTGTCATATTTTTATTTGCTTCTAACAATACACACAGTTGAATGCCAAAAGTCAACGCGAGTTAGTTTTGCGTCAAAGCGCCTTAATTAATAATTTATTGTGGAAACGTGATTTGGTCGAGATAAAAACTAATGAAAATAGCGAACATAGAACATCATGAAATTTACAAGGGAGCAAAAAATTGAAATTGTATTGAAATAAGAATGTGTACAAACAAATCAAACCAGAACCAAAACCAAAGAAAAAGAAATGGAGTGAGGCATGAATTTACTTACCGTAAATCGTCGGATGATAGAGCTGGATGGGCGACCAGAATCGACAGTGTTTGCATCACAACTTGGACATTGATAATGCGACGTTCGGTGTCGTTTACCATGAATGGTATTAATGCTAAATACTCTTGGATCACATCGTCGTTGCCAATTTTCAGCATGAGAATACAGTTGAGGATCTCCTTCAGAATTTCCTCCTTTGTACTGAATTTATCGGCTACTAAATTTACCTTTATGCTAGTGCTGTTCGCATTGTTATTACTATAGTTATTATTGTTATTGTTATTATTGATCGTATTACTATTTATTGAATTGGTTGAATTGTTGTCACCGATAATTAATCTATCCGATTCGTAATAAATTGAATCCTTGTTGTTATTGTTTAATTGCACATCACTATTTATGTTTGTCAACGATTTGTATGAATCACAGAGTTCGTATATGTACGATTTGTCGTTTGACTGTTGTTCCATTCGTTTGTTTTTGTCACAGTCGATGCTTTGGGCATATGTCGCTTCGATTTTCGAATGGATGAATCGCAATGTCGGATACTGGAATTGCTTGAGCATTGAACAAACGGCAATGGCTCGTTCGCAATGCGACCACTTTTCGAAATAGTGTTTTACACATTGCAATTCCTCGTCAAACACAGAGCCACCCGATGGGAATGTCATGATAACTGATTGTTTCTTCTTCGTCGTCTGGTTGTCACACGGGATGTTCTGATCTTTGTTCGATTTGGCTGCACGGTTCGTCGACGAAATCGATTCGCGTCCACGTTGCACTCGCAATTCTTCTCTCCGTTGTTCCGCTTCTGATTTTATGGTCTTTACGTGGTTTTTTTTTTGGTTGGTTTATTTCCGTTTTTATTCTGATGAAATTTCCCAGAAAGTCAATTTGTTCCGTTTGGAGACGTTAAAATGTACCTTAAATGGATAGAAACAAAGAACATAAGTAATTATTTAAAATGGCGCAAAAAAAGAGAAAAGAGCCGTTAGTCATATTTCATTTGTTGTTGTTGAACATACAGCACATTTGAAAAGGTCAAAAGTACAAATGTGGTGCGAGAATAGTGTGCTTGCAGTGCAAGTGAACATTTTTATTTCCATCCAATTGTGTTCGGCGCTCACTTTAGCTGGTGCTTTTTTTGTTGCTGTAACACAAGTCCACCAGCCGAGCAAAATGATAAAATGTGTCGTTCTCTTTTGCGCACATTCCGTCGCATTATAAGAATGCTCGGTGACCATTTTTACGAATTGTGTGTGCAATTTGTGGTCATTTTTCGAGTGCGATGCTCAAGCCAGTGATTTGGCGGCAAAACACAAAGTAACGCCAAGTGCAAGTTCACCTTCACTGTGCTGCTCTTGCACATACATCGTACGATAAATTGTACCACTGTGAAATACCTAACGGTTCTATCAAACCGAATGGAATCGAGGAAATGAAAGACACCGCACACACAAACACACACACACACACCAATGACAATTCCTGTATGAAAATGCACGAAAACGAAATGAGAAAGAGAAAAAAATTCCAAATTTCATCAGAATCGTACATTTCAACCGAAAATGAACCAAAATGTGGACAAATTCACCGAACTAAAGAATCTGTGCATGTAGCGAATGTTTGTTCATGAACAAAAAAAAATGCAAACGTAGTCAGTTGGTGATGTCGTCATGGCACATGGAAAAACGTCGATACGTTCATAATTAGTTTAGCTTGAACGCGTCTTCAATTGAAAATTGTTATATCTTTGGAAAAAATAACAAGGTTCATATGTTTACCTAAATTAAGTTGAAGTCTATTTAAATGGAATGGGAGAAAAAATACGAATACCACCATGAATTGATTTATTTTTTGGTTATTATCACTTTTAGCTGCAAATTGCTGTTTTTTTTGTTGGATAAATGATTTATGTGCGCGCGCCTCATACAAATAAATCTTAAAATGATGTGCTGTAAGCCGTAGGAAAGACATGATAACGATTCCCTATCAATTTGAATTTTAAGTTTATGCACATTTTCTGACCGAAACCGACGCGTTTAACGAACAAAAAAAAATGTTCTTTTTGCTTGTGCCAATTTGTTTGTCGAATGTTAAATAAACATCAAGAGCTACTTCTCGATCGGATTTAATTTCAACGAACGGCAACTGAATAGGGAAAAAAAACTTGAAAACGGCACGCAACCGAATCAACGAACAAAATGCCGAATAACCATGGAAACAATGGGTTACATAAGAAAAAAAAGGAATATTCATGAAAAAATTGCCTATGCGAAACGGCTCTTGATGAGAAAAAAACCAGGAGATTTTGAAGAAATTCTGAATATCAAAAAATCACTTACAATGGTAGCTGACGATATGGTGATACTTTGTGCAAGTCACCATACAAAATGCAATCTTTTTCATCTGCTGGTTGATGGCAAATTTATTTCACTGCTATGAATTTTTGTACAATGTCTGCTGTGCACCACTTCGTTTAACACTCCAAATGCGACTGATGAGTGCAAAAATCTCATCTCCGAGTTTATGGCCGAGAGCCGAGTGGCATCAAAGTGAAATTTTTGGCGTCATTGTAAATCGGTGGCAATAATTGGTGTGTCTATGGTGTGCGGCAGTCGAAAATTGACCAATGCGATAAGAGAAAATTGGCGCAAAAACCTAATTTAAATGGTTAATTGTTCGTGTGTTGTTTTGACTACTTTGTGTGGTGCGATGTTTGTTTGTATTTTCGTTTTATGTGTGACGTCGGCTGAGTGAGGCTCACACTCACTCTGTGCTGATGATTAGAATACACAAAATTTATTCGAAAACGAGCATCGGAACATATGACGAAAGCAACAAGAGAATGTGACGCAACGGTAAATTGTCACAACCGATACTTCAAGAACAAAAAAACGCGCAAAAAACCACAAATCTGATTTTGGGTATCGCTATTCCTTCAAAACGTGGCGATAGCAAACCAATCGACAGACCAAAAAAAACCGATTGGAAAAGAATAAATTTGCACATTGTCTTCGGTCGTTTTTTGGTTGCCTTCCAAATTATTTGTGTTGAACACGGAATTAAAATGCGAGAACAAAGTATACACAACCACACAGAGCACATAGAAGCTAAGAGAATAAATCACGGGTTTGCACAAGAAACAAACTGGAAAAAAATTGAACAGAAAAAAAGCGAAATCGAATGCATCATAGAGAGCCTTTTTTCTTATTCTCCCGCATTGTTTATCCGTTTGTTTACACGCGCTAAAAATTCATATAAAAATGCTTGTTTTTTTCCACATACGTTAGTTTGTGCGCCTCTTTTTCAATACACATGCACGTACACACAGGCACAAACACACACACTCACTTTAAATATGGCAGATGAATCGAATAAAGAAGAAACCGAGGAGAAAAAAGCAGTAGCAGTTTTTTTTCTCTCTCATCAACAAATGGCTCATGGGGTGTCGTTTGCAATTCGCTTGCAATTCTGAACTCGAAATGCACACTTTTCGCCGTTTGTTTTATTTCTTCTTGTTATTTTTGTCCGTTGCCATTTCACTAGCGAGACACTCACTGCTGAAAATGCAGCACTATGAGTAAGCGCGGGACTAATTTGTTGCTCATATGCAAACGACAGCATTATGTCAACGCGCGCGTACATCTTTAGCTGGCTGCTCTATGTTTGTGGCAACCGTGTTTCACTGTTGTTATTTGTCATATTATAATTTTTTTTTTCTTCTTCTCTCATATGGCTATAGAGATTTTGTTGTTTTTTTGCTCTCGTCATTTCGTACATCGTGCTTTCATTCGTCACAAACAAAGTGCACACAATCTCTCTCTCTCTCTCTCTCTCTCTCTCTCTCTCTCTCTCTCTCTCT